TGAAATTTATTAAGTCAGTGAGAATTTAGCAGATGTTTAGAGTATGCCAGGTCCTGTGTGCCAGAAGGTAAAGAAATATACGTGATTAGGACACAGCTGTTGCTCTTGAGGTAACAAAACAGGGTGGTGCCCTTAGTGGTGTGTTAGAGTGGTCTCAGGACACCCTGGGTGGCAGGACATGGGACGCCTGTGCCTGGGAGTCAGTGGTGGTTGCTTTGTTACTACTGCAGGTAGCAGGTGGAAATGAGCAGCCGGAGGGAACATAAAGTGCATGGGGGGTGGGGGTGGGGGACCCCTCTTACAATCTAACAAAGAACTTAAAAGGTGAGGCTGGAAACAAAAGGAAGCCATGTCTCGCCAGTTAACTCAGCAGTCCTGAGCCTGGTGCTGTAAGATTGCCAGGTATTCGAAGGCAAAGGTAGTGCGGGAGGAAGGGAGTCCTTGAGATTCTGTGCTGAGAAAGAGAGCCTCTATTTTGCTAATAGACAAAAAGCCTTCACTAGGTGGGAAAGAAAGGTTTGCAAGCAGAAGAAGGAGGGGGAACCTAGAAACTGACTAAAGTACAAAACCCCTGGGCTCCAGTAGTTGGCACACTCAGATTAGCTGAGTGCCCACTTGTAGCCTTGGCTCAAGTGTATAGAACAAACTTACAACTTTATTCCCTCTATACGTGGGGCATTCAGACTGGCTGGGTGGGTGCCTGCTTGTAGCTTTGTGCTTGTTAGTGTTTCAGAAATAAACTTGATATCTCATTTCCACCCTATGGGTTTGTCTCTGCTTGAATTCATCTCTTGCAAGTGAGGCAAGAACTGAGAAACAAGCTGTGTGTGTGTGTGGGGGTCCCCTGACTTGGGTCTCTCCCCAGTAGCAGCTTCACCGAGGAGGAGACTCTCCTGCTGCAATTGGAAAGGACAAGTGTGTGTTTGGCGTGTGCAGAAGGGCAGGAAGAGCCTTGCCGGCAGGGGGAGTGGGGTGCGGTCACAGCTGTGCGTGTCCCAGGCCTGCTGCTGGGGCTGCACCCATGGGGAGCTGCCAACTCTATCAGAGGTGGGGCTCCTCCATAACACTGGTTTAGGGAGAGGGCCTGTGTTAGTACTTTATTCTTATTAAGTTTGTGTCTTAATGGAGAATGAAAATTTTCTCATAAAAATGCAAAAGAAAGTGTTTCTAAAAACTTTTGAATAATTTATGCCCATTGACTCAGTAGTCCTGGTCTTAGAACTACTAAGGAAATAATTTGAAAACAGAAAAAGCTTTCTGCTTACAGATGTTCCTCATAGTCTGTTATTTATGATAGGGGTTTTTTTTTTGAAGACCTTAAATGAAGACCTTAATGTTCAACAGTAGAAAGTTTAGCTAAATTATGGCACATCACATAATACATGAAGCTAAGCAAGACTTTATTTTTAAAAAAATATTTAATTAATTTATTTTTAGAGAGAGGGGGAGGGAGGGAGAAAGAGAGGGAGAGAAACATCAATGTGTGGTTTCCTCTTGTGTGCCCCCTACTGGGGACCTGGCCCACAATCCAGGCATGTGCCATGACTGGGAATTGAACCAGAACCCAGTTCACTGAGCCACATCAGCCAGGATGAAGTTAAGCAAGACTTTAGTCATATGAGGAAATGCCTACACTGCTAACTAAAAAGTGCAGGATGCTAAATTTTATATATAAGGCAATCAACTGTATAAAATGTATAAAATAAATATATTCACAATATACTCACAATTTGTTAAAACTAATTAAAACCCGAGTGTTGAAATTATGGACAATTTACAATTTCTCTTTTAAACACTTTTTTGTTTTCTACATTATCTATAATATGTGTGTGTTACTGTTAATCTGAGTTAAAAAAAGAAAAGCTTTAGCATTCCTTTTCTTCTGATCCCTTTCCTGCCTTCCCCTTTCTCTCTTTCTCCCTCCTTTCTACACCTCTCTCTTTTCCATCCTCCCTCTTTTTTTCTTCCCAATTTCAGATTCCTATTTTTTTTAACTTAAGCCTAATAATGAAATTAGACCACATGACCAAAGCTGATTGCTGCTTCTTGGTGGCAGCGTGTCTCATGGACAGTGTAGTGGTGAAGATCCCAGGCTCTGGTGTTAGGTTGTTTGGGTTCAAATCTCTATCTTGGTGTACTAAGCTATGTGACCTTAGTTATTTAACTATTATTTTCATTATTTTATTTTTATATCTTATTTATTTATAGAGGGGAAGGGAGGGAGAGAGGGAGAGACACATCAATGTGTGGTTGTCTCTCATGTGACCCCCACTGGGGACCTGGCCTGCAACCCAGGCATGTGCCCTGACTGGGAACTGAACCAGTGACCTCTTGGTTTGTAGCCCAAGCTCAATCCACTGAGCTATACCAGCCAGAGCTACTTTCATAATTTTAAAAATCGATTTAGCAGTAGTTACTACTCTAGGATTTTAGGGGGATTAAATGAGAGCATAAGCAAAATACTTAGCAGGGAGCCTGGTATATAGTAAACACTAAAAAATAATGGATGTTATTGGCTTAGTTTTTGTATACAAACTTATTTAAAGCTTAATTGTCAAAAGTAAACATGTAAAGTGAAGACAAACATCCTAGCAAGGCTTTGGGAGCTTCTTAAGAACAGTTGAAATGTCTTTAAGGTGAATGACATTTGAATATGTTCAGAAAGGACTGAATAAACAAATTTCTTTGACCGTAAGGTGTTTCCCAGTTTGCAGACTGGCATGTCCATTAAAATGAATGGCTCAGTCTTCTCTCATACAAAGAACACCTTAAAGAAAATCATTTCAGTTTGATGTAAACTCTTGGAAGCAGGTCTCTTAGCAACAGGTAAACTAGGCTTGTCCTGAATGACTTTAAAACAGCAAAATCCATCAGCAGGTGTTTTGAGACAATCAGACCTTGAGAACTTGGTTTGGATGAGTTTGAGACTGGATGTGAGAGACCTTGGCCTGGGCCTGGCATGTCTGGGAGGTGCTTTATCAGACCCCTCGCCCTTCCCTATAAAGCTTTGTTCCTCCAGTGAATCTGAGGTCATTTGGCAATTCCCATGGGGTGTGGAGAGGTCCTAATGGTGTGGCTTTAGAATTCAGGTGCTCACCTCTGTGGAAGGCTGTTTCCTCACTTAGACTATGACTTGTGGTCCTGGGTGTGGGTGTGTCTGCCTCTCTGTCAGCTCAGGTCACTAGCAGAGGGGTGGGAAGGGTGGGAAGATGGCCCAGAAGGTCCTGTGCCCAGATCGGAGAGGCTGTCTGCAGATATTTAGGGAGATGGCCTCCAGAAGAGGCTGAGGGTGTCTCTGACTGAGAGGAGGGGGACTCGTCAAGAGAGGACAGGAGAAGATAATACAAAGGGAGACTTGCCCCCTCCCTGTTTGGACAAGACTTTATGATAGAGATAGTAAGCAAGGGAGGCAGGGGCATGGAAGGAGGGTGAGTGCGCACAGCAGTGACCTGTGGGAAGCAAATCAACAAGTCTCCCTGCCCCTTTGGCTCTCCGTGGAGGAGGAGAAAGTGTGAAAGGAGAGAGAAAGCGGGGTAGGGCCATGCAGGGTCATTTGGTGTCTTGAGCCTGTAACGCATTGTCTCTGGAGAAGTGGAAACTTCCTGCTGAAGACCTCATGGTCAGTGTACTTACATGGACTGCCTGTCTGCATGTGAGCAAAGAGGGAGGGACTATTTGAGCAAAAGCAGTACCCTGTACACTGAATCCTGGGAAGAGCGTGTGATAGGGCACCTCTCAAAAGTGGTATGTGTGCATCGTACCTGGGGGAATGAGAGACAATGCTAGGCATCTTCAGGGTGGTCAGAGCCTTGTAGAGGGTGGGCAGCCCCAGTTTCCACCTGGAGTCAGAATCCCCACCTTCCCCACCCTGACCAAGCTCTCCAGTACCATGGACAATTCACTGCTTTGTAAAATTCTGTGAATTTGGATTTTCCCACGAGATGTTCCAGTGAACCCAGCACAAACTGTCTCCTCTTCGGGGAGAAACACACCACGTGTTAGTGTATCAAAGACTCCCTGACGCCCTGTGCAGATAAAACCTACCATATTTTCGGACTATAAGACACATTTTTTTTAACCACATTTTTTGCTTTAAAATTTTCTCCTCTATTTTCCTCCTTTAAAACTTAGGTTCACCTGGGGTCCATACCATAAGATGCAGCTAGGTTTTAGAGGAGGAAAAGAGGAAAAAATGTTGAAGCAAAAAATTTGGTAAAAAAGTGCATCTTATAGTCCAAAAAATATGGTATTTTACTTTGTTTAGCCCTCATTTCCTGCCCCCACCCTTTTTTTGTAATAATGTCCATTAACATTCCATGGACACAATGAATCTGTTAGCCAGCAAATGCCCTACTGATGGTTAGAAAAGACTTGTGTATATATTCTTCTTATTTTTTTAATCTTCACCTGAGGACATGTTTATTGATTGAGGGAGAGAGGGAGAGAGAGAGATTGATGTGAGAGAGAAACATGGACCAGTTGCCTCCTGCATGTCCCCCAACTGGGGATTGAACCCACAACCTAGGTGTGTGTCCTGATCGGGGGTCAGACCTGCATCCTTTTGGTGTACGGGACGACGTCCAACCAACCAAGCCAACAGCCAGGGTACGGTGTATATATTGTTGTCCAGTCCTTCATGCACTTGAAAGCCATTGGTGTGTGTGTCTGTCTGTGTGCCCCAGCCCCTCCCCTGCTTCTTCGGCCATCTCACAAGCTCCATCTTTGGGTCTCCTCACCTCTTGGTCACTCTCGTGGGAGACTTCCAGGTGGCCTCCGTTCCTCTGGAGGCACTGCCCCAGGTGTGATCCACTGGGGGCTGACCGGGGCAGGGCTGTCCTCCTTTTCTATGGTCACCGACCAGGAATCTGAGTCCCCTTTTTAAATGGCAGCACCGCAGAGGTGGGGCTATTGTCAAACACAGACAAGGGAAACAAGACGTCAGTAGTGATGGCCGGGCTGGGGAACTTACAGGGGCCTGTGTCTTCTCCACTTTCTTTCAGGTCATCTTTGCTTTGAACCAGACCCTCCTGCAGCAGGAGAGCCTGCGAGCAGGCAGCCTTCAGGTCCCCTACATGACTGAGGACCTCATCAAACAGTATAACTGCGGGGACCTCAGCTCTGTCATCTTCAGTCACGACAGCTCCCAGGTGAGGGCCCTGATCCTCTGCCTAGCTCATTTAGAAACAAGAATAAGGACAGTACCTACTGCTACCTGAATATCCTGTGTACAAAGGATTAGGGCCATGAAGGCCTCTAAAAATAACATTGGTCAGACAGAGTTAGATGTTGAATGAGATGCTGCAGCTAACAAAAGCATGCTTTATGAAACTTAAGAACTGACAGGGGCAGTTAATTCCAGGATCCCAGTCAAAGGACGAAGCGTCAAGGGATTCAGCAGCATGCCTTGTGGCCTAGGCGGCAGGCAGCCTGCACCAGCCTCCAGAGGGAAGGCAGCCGAGTCTGAAAGCCTCCTGGCTGACTTAGGTGACACTGTTGAGAAATGATGGAGCAAAACTTTTGTGGCTTCCAGGAACATGTGAGCATGGTGCCACTGAAGTACCTGTAGTACTCTTACAGGGTGGCACCCCGAGGCTGGGAAGGTTCCCAACATTTCCAGACATGGGTTCCATCCTGCAGTACTGCAGGGTGTGGCCGAGCTGTGCAGGGAGTGTTCACGCAGGATAGGCTTCACTGGTGGGCCGTCATGGGGAAGGGAGCAGGTGATCAGGGTTCAGAGGATTGCAGCCTCCCTGTAGGGCCAAGATGGATGGATACTTGTTAGGCTTTTATGAACAAAGTTCCCATGGGATGAACTGTGGCTGCTGCCCTGCCCCCCACTAAGGTCGTGTGAAAGTGGCAAGTGCCAGCTAAGCTTCTGAGATAGGGGAGTGTGTTGCCTCCACCCACCAGGACCAATGCCCTCACGCAGGAGAACACTGGGGAAAGAGAGGAAGGGGCTGGTGGGTGTAAGTGATGCTGTCTAGGTCTGGGGACCCTGTCATGAGGAAAAGTGAGTGACTGTAAGAGGTGAAAAGGAATGACAGCACTGAGGAGAGGGACGGCAGAGGCTGAAACCAGCATCACCCCATAGGTGTCAAAGGACATAATGAGCTTTCCATAGAGTCTAGAGTGGGAGGAAGGAACACCAAGGCAAAGCAGGCAAGAGGAAAAGGAAAACAAGAATTACACTCAAGAAGGAATAGCAGAGTTGTGGTGGTGATAATTCTCATGTGTGCTCTTGGTGGGGGTGGGGCAAGTGGGGAGAAAGGTCAAGGTCAATTGGAAAATTAAGATTTGAAGCAGTAGAGAAAAGTTAGCATGGGTGGGGGATTTGGAGGTTATATGGGCAAATGGTAAGGCTGATGGAGCAGTTAGGGGACAGATGTCTTACACCTTTCTTTTCCTGTGGCTCCTCCATTCCTGTCCTGCTCAGGGACCTGCAGGTGGCATGAGGTAAGGGGAGTGTGCCTGCCATCGCGGAATGAGGGCCAGCCAGGACAGGGCTGAGCGGTGCGGGATGAGGTCCTGTCCAGTGTTTAGAAGGTGAGCAGAGTGGCAGTGGAACGTCTCCCTGCGAGTTCTGGGTGCCTGTGTAGGCAGCTGGTACCAGGGGAGCACTCTACAGAAGTGAAGAGATTTTCAGAAATAGGCAGGAGGATCTTACATAAATAACATAATTGAAAAGGAAATGATAAAGGAGGCAGTAAGAATTTTGATTTGAAAACAAAAGAATATCATTTTAAGGGAATAGCAAAAGAAGATCTGTTATCCATAAAACGGAAACTGGTGGCTGTGTTACAGAGTGTGAGAACTTGTGGGAGGTCTTTGAGAGGCTACTGGAAAGAGGAGAAGCAGGCAGGGTGCGTATCCTATTGAATATTTGACTAACATAATGGTTAACCTTGTTCCATCCCTGGGTGGAGGAGAGCATGTGCCTAGGAGAAGGGCTGAGGGTGCTGAGGGTTGGGAAACCAGAGAGCCAACCGGGTGAAGAGAGAACACAATGTGTTAGTCTCACCTACAGCCACTGCATTGCAAGAACCGCACCTGATTGCCACCTTTTTGGTGCAATAACACTCTGTTAGCCAACGTGCCGGAACTGGCTAACATGTGTGCCAGAGTCAGGTGAGCTATTTGCCAGGAGGGCAAAGAACATTGGAGAAAGCAAGAGGGAGAAATAGGAATTGGAGAAATAATGAAAATTTAAATGTATGGAATTTATGAAACAGCTGAATGTTTATATTTGTTAGTAGAATTTGTTAGTATTTGTTAGTATTTGTTAGTAGAATTGTAATTACTGATTCTAAAATAGTAACTATGTAAAATTATTTTTACTAAAAAAGCATGTGTAAACTAAACAAATGAAAAGTATGGATAATCTATGCAAAGATATGGCCTCCTTATATAAACACATGGCATCAAAGAGAATCATTTAAATGGAACAGTAATACTGCTTTAAATAGCTGAATAGTTCCTTCACTGCACTTAATGTAATATTTTTCACTTGGGTTCCAGAGAGTGAAATTACAGTTTGAAATGTAGCAGGTGGGAGACTCCAAGAATGGTGTACACTCTTGCTCCTCCTGCTGGCCAGCATCTTGACTGTCTAGGCTTGGTGATGGGATGCTCAAATTGAGCCATATCGTTCATAACTCTGTTGCCCTTAAATTTTTTTTCTTTATTTTGGTGGAGGTTCCCAATTTCACTAATGCCATGCTGCCGCCTCAGGAACGCATCACAGCTCAGGAGATTGACAGCTACTTCCACCAGGAGCTTATCTACAAGTGGAACGAGAGGATGGGGAAGCCGGTGAAGGCACTTTTGGAGGAGTTCCCCGACAAATGTTTTTTCTTTGCCTTTGGAGCTGGTGAGTTGCAGGTTACCATGGACTAGACCCTGCCTCTAATGCTCTCCCCTGAAGGGGATGCCGAGGCGGGCACCTGGGAAGAGGTGAGAGGAATGACACCTTTGACTTTTTGCTGGAGCTAAGTGGCTCCCGCTGGAGCCTGAGAATCCAGCATATGGGACCGTTGCTGGGTGGGCTGGTGACACCACCTGGGCTCCCGATACACTTTCCAGATACACTCTCCAGCTGGAAGGCATTTCTTTCTCTTCTAAACTCAGCACTGAATCCCAGCTTCTTCCGGGCACCTTTCAGTTTTTGAACTTCCACTAAAATTCATTTATCTTCTCTCTTCTACCTGACTGTGAGCCTCCCAAGTGTAAGGCCTGGGGCTGATACTTCAGCTATTACTATATTTTTTTTAAAAAGATTTTATTTATTTATTGTTAGAGAGAGGGGGAAGGAGGGAGAAAGAGAGGGACAGAAACATTGATATGAGAGAGAAACATTGACTGGTTGCCTCTTGCATGCCCCGAACTGGGAACCTGGCCTGTAACCCAGGCATGTGTCCTGACTGGGAATCGAACTGGTAACCTTTCAGTTTGTAGACTGGCACTCAATCCACTGAGCCATACCAGCAAGGGCTACTTCTGCTATTACTATTAACTATTACTAACTGTGTAAATGCAGACAGACTGGGAAAATTATTGCCTTTTGTGGGCTTTTTGAAATAATTCTCTCGAGTGATTCTATCATAGTTTTGTAGGCTCTGGGATTCAGGACAGAAATGCCGGACGCTGGCTGTGTGCAGCAGGGCAGCAGGAGTGTTTGCTGACAGGCTTTCTCTTTACAATTCTTTAATAGCTTCATGAATGTGAACAAGTCACCTCCCTAGGTGGTTATTTATTTATTTTTTTTGCCAGTAAACTGGGGAGTTGGAGAGAAGCATTCCAGCATGGCAGAGTGAGTGATCCAGCGCAGCCTCCCAATCTCAACATTGTCAGTTTAATGATACCTGCTAAATCCTTCTTTTGGGGGGGCATAGAAGATAACATGCATGGGTTCCAGGGATTAGGATGCAGATATATTTTGGGGGACCATTAATCAGCCTACCACAACATTTGAAAATCAATTAATGTAATACCCCATATTAATAGACTAAAGGACAAGAACCACATGATCATCTCTGTACATGCAGGAAAAGCATTTGATAACATGCAATTCTCTTTCATCCAAGTAGAAATAGGGAGGGACTTCATTAACCTGTTAAAGAAGTCACTATGAAATAACCACATTAATATCGTACTTAATGATAAAAGACAATGTTTTCCCCTAAGATGAGGAACAAGACAAGGATGGCTGCTGTCACCACCCCTCCTCAGCATCGTGCTGAAGGTTCTAGCCAGGGAAAGTAGATAAGGAAAAGAAATAAAAGGTATTCAAATTGGAAAGGAGGAAGAAAATATCTCTTTTCTTAGTTAACATGATCTTGTATACAGACGATCCTAATATATCAAAAAACAATTAAAACACTTCCGGCAAGATGGAGGCATAGGTGGACGCACCGTACCTCCACACACAACCAAGATTAGAACAACAACAATTTAGAGGCAGAATAACACCCAGAAATGATAGAGAATTTATCTGAATGGAAGTCGGACAGCCAAGAAGTTGAAGTAGACCCATTCATCCAGACCGGTAGGAGGGGCGGAGACAAGCAGCCGGGTGCGGGGCGTGGTGCGGGTCGCAGAGAGGAGAGAGCAGTGGGCGCATAAGGCAACTGGGAGCGCGTGAGGCGTCTGGGGCGTGCAGGATCGAAGCGGGTTGACCCTGAGTACATGAGCAGCAGCTGGAGGACCCAGTGAGGCAGTGATTGTGGACTGGGGCAGAGCTCGCAGCCCAGGATCCTAGGGAAGAAACTGTGGTCTCAGCAGAGTGGAGCTACCACCATTGTTCGCCCCCACCCCCACATACAATGTCACAATCTAGCGACTGGGGTGCCCAACCCCTGTGAACACCTAAGGCTCTGCCCCTCACTTTAACAGGAGCGACCAGACCAAAAAGAGAGAGAGAGAGAGAGACATGTCTCAAACAGAAAAACAGATCAATGCCCCAGGGCTCATCCTTTTGAGTGACTAAGAGATAGCCAATCTATCAGATGCACAGTTCAAAACACTGGTGATCAGGAAGCTCACAGAATTGGTTGATTTTGGGCACAAATTACATGAAAAAATGCAGGTTACCATGAAAGAGATGAAGGAAGATGCATGGAGAACCAATAGTGAAGGGAAGGAAACTGGGACTCAAAACAATAGAATGGACCAGAAGGAAGAAAAAAAAGAACCAAACAGGAAAGAATGAAGAAATAAGAATTCAGAAAAACGAGGAGAAGCTTAAGAACCACCAGGACATCTTTAAACGTTCCAACATCCAAATTATAGGGGTACCAGAAGGGGAAGAGGAAAAGCAACAGATTGAACACGTATTTGAACAAATAATAAAGGAGAACTTCCCCATTCTGGCAAAGGAAATAGACATCCAGGAAATCTAGGAAGCTCAGAGAGCCCCAAAGAAGTTGGACCCAAGAAGAAACACACCAAGGCACATCATCATTACATTAGCCAAGGTAAAAATGAAGGAGAGAATCCTAGAAGCAGCAAGAGATAAGGGGGACAGTAACCTACAAAGGAGTTCCCATCAGACTGTCAGCTGATTTCTCAAAAGAGACCTTACAGGCAAGAAGGGGCTGGAAAGAAATATTCCAAGTCATGAAAGACAAGGACCTATATCCCAGAATACTTTATCCAGCAAAGCTTTCATTTAGAATGGGAGGGCAGATAAAGTGCTTCTCAGATAAGGTCAAGTTAAAGGAGTTCATCATCACCAAGCCCTTATTTTATGAAATGTTAAAGGGACTTATCTAAGAAAAGAAGATAAAGAAAAAACATGTATAGTAAAAGGACAGCAAACTCACAATTATTAACAACCACACTTAAAACAAAAAGAAATTAAGCGAACAACTAGAACAGGAACAGAACCACAGAAATGGAGATCACATGGAGGGCTAGCAGCAGGGGGGTGGGAGGAGGAGAGAGGGGGGAAAGGTATAGAGAATAAGTAGCATAGAATGTAGGTTGAAAATAGATAGGGGGAGGGCAAGAATAGTATGGGAAATGTAGAAGCTAAAGAACTCATAAGTATGACACATGGACATGACTAAAGGGGGGATATGGGTGGGAGAGGGTGTACAGGGTGGAGGGGAGTGAAGGGGGGAAAATGGGACAACAGTAATAGCATAATCAATAAAATATATTAAAAAACAATTAAAACCAACAACTGAGTTCAGGTCACAAGAGTGCAGGATACAAGGCTGATACACAACACTCAGCAGTCGCACTGGGTCTGCGCAGTGGAACAGGCCCAACGCTGGAGCGTGAGGGAGCTGGGCATGCAAGGCTGCCTGTCACCTTCCACCCCTGCCAAAGTCAACTGATCTGTCAAGAGCCTCCCTTACATCTAGCATCAGAATAATAGGGCTCTGGACACAGGGGAAAGGTGGGTACTCTGAGATGACAGCAGCCTGCCCTGTGGTACTGCTGTGCCAGGTGCATTCTGGGCCAGAATGAAGCTGGCAGCAGCCTGGCTGGTGACCAGCGGGTGGGTTGGACCTGAGCAGTTTGAAAGGCCTTCTGGATGGGAATCATGTCAGATGGATGGCACAGGCGATCTCTGCCACACCTGGGCTTGCCTGATTTGCAGGGCACAGCTCTGCATACTGCTGCAGCCCTGCACAGGGCAACTTTGTCGTGGGAATATGGAGATAAAATTGAAAAATGAGGAATGGACCTCAACTTTGGAGTAGGAGGAACACTGCAGTTAAACAGAGCAGTTTGGTTTCAGAATGCTGAAGCATTGCTAGGAAGGGCTGTTGATTCACTTGACAATGTTTTTTATTCCTTATTTGTTGAGAGTGTGAACTCTGGAGCCAGACCACCTGGGTTCAAGTTGCAATCTGCTTAATTTCTCTGTGCCTCTTCCTTATCTATAAAGTGGGGGTAATAATATACCTACTTTATAGGATTGTTGGGGGGTTGTTAAGTGATGCGTAAAGCATCAAGAACAGTGCCCCACAGCTTGTAATACTTAGTAAATGTTAGAAGTTCAAAATCAAGGTGCTGTCAGGTGTGGTTTTTCCTGAGGCCTCTCTCCTTGGCTAGCAGATGGCTGCCTTCTCTTTGCCCAACCCCCCCCGCCAACACTGCCTTTCCTCATATGCACAGAGACCTTGTGTCTCCGTGTCCGAATCTCCCTTCTTGTAAGGAAGCTCGTCAGATTGGATCAGGGCCCACCGTCACGCCCTTATTTTAACTTAATCACCTCATTAAAGGCTCTGTCTGCAAATATAGGCACATCTGAAGAACTCGGTAGTAGGGCTTCAATGTACAAGGCCCCCCCCAAAAAAAAACTCCCTGGAATTTATTTATTAAAAAATCGTGTATTTATTCTTACATGTTTAAACTTCAGTCACCTTCAAAGTGCTCTGCATTTGATGCAACACACCTACTGAGATGTTTTTCCCACTGCTCAAGGCAGTTTTTGAACTTGTCCATTTTGAGGCCTTTTAGTGCTTGTGTTGTGTTTTTTTTTTTCCACCTCTTCCACATCAGCAAAATGTTTCCCTTTGAGGACTTTTTCATCTGGGGAAACAAAAAAGAGTTGCTTGGGGTGAGACTGGGTGAATAGGGAGGGTGGGGCATGGGAGTCATGCCATTTTTTGTCAAAAACTGCTGAACACTCAGCATGATGTGGGTGGGCGGGCTCGTAAATCACCCATCATGAAAGGGGCAAATGCTGTGAAAGAGTCTTCAAAAAGAATTCACTGAAGCCCAACACAGCCTCTCACAACAGCACCAGCTGGTGCACTGATACAGATGGGTTCCTAGCACACTCACCTGGAGAGGGAAGCCTGTACTACAAGGGGCCTGACCTTCAGAAAGATATTTCTGCTTTTTTGGGTCCCTGCTTGTATGAATTTTGGGGGACACAGTTCAGCCCATACACACTCTGTTCCTCTCACTCCCATTCCCCTTTATCTGAGTCAGTTGCCTTTTGCCACTCTTGGGGTCATAGACTCTGCAGCTGGACCCAAGAACGTAGTACAGCCCAGAACCTGCTGCTGCAACATCACCCTTGGCTCCCCAGGGTCCCAAAGACTGATCCAGAGTTCACTCTGCTTCTTAGAGCTGTGCAGTCAGGACAGGGGAGAGGCCTTCAGGCCAGCTGTCAGCCTCTCCTGCAGTTTGGATGTACCTTCATTTTCTTTCCCAGTTTTCAGCTGTTGAATATTCAGCTGTCAAAATCTCATAGACTCTGGAGCCATACTGCCTGGGTTCAGATTCTGCTCTGCCATTTCTCAGCCTGTGATGTCCTGAACTTACTTTATCTCAGTTTTAAATTTTACAGTGGAGGTAGTAATACCTCTAAAGTTCTGCTGGATCACAGGATAGGGTGCTGCTAGTTCATTGCCATTTAGGACATTAAAGTGCCATAAACTTTCACCTAAAGGGACATTCTGAGCACTGAAACCTGACATGAAGGAAGTGAATCCAGGATCTACCCTTGGCTTTTAAAATATTTAAGATGCCAGTGTAAGCTTATCTGGTGATCTTCGCTGCTTTTTTCTGAAAAAGGAAAGAAGTGAAATAAAATTCAAGTTGAGGTTTCTAGCTATGGTGGCTTCTAAGTGGAGGTTTTTATTATGCATTTATAAATGCACGTAGGACGAGGGGCTAGCTAGTGTCTTGGTTGATTTATCTAGTTAGCACTGAGTTCAGAGGTGGGGCATTTGCTCCCAGAGTCTCCCCTGAGCTGTGTGACTGGGGGCAGCTCACGGCACCGTTCTGTCCTTGTCTCTGAAATGCTGCTCACCGCCAGCTGCCGGCCTGGCAGGGCTGCTGGGAGGCCTGGCTGCAGCAACTTTCTCCAACCGCACTGGGTGGGATGCAGGGAAGGGGGTTGGAAGGTTATGCCTCTGTTCTGATGTGTGTGTGGGGTCTGTTTGGTGGTCATGAGAGCTGCCACATTTCTGATCGTTTTTCTTACTGCAGGTCATTTCATGGGCAACAACACAGTGCTCGAGGTCTTGCGGCGCGAAGGCTATGAGGTAGAACACGTCCCTGCTGGACGACCCATCAACAAGTAACCTTCCTGTGCATCTGTCCTGGTTGGGGAGCCACTAGGGAGGCCTGAGAACCCCGCAGGGCTGCCTGGGCGCCAGGGTGGGCTGTATCCTGAGGGGCTCCAGTGTGCCTCAGCACGGCATGACTGCCCTGACTTGCCCCCTGGCCTGGGAGAAATGGCTCCGCTGTGTCCCTTTGTGGCTGGGGCTGTGTCTGACATGGGCTGGCTGGCTGCACAGTGTGGGCTGTTTATACAAGAGAAATTTATTTTCTCACAGCTCTAGGGACCAGAAGTTCCAAATCAAGGTGTTGTCAGGTTTAGTTTCTCCGGAGACCTCTCTCCTGGCTTGCAGATGGCTGCCTTCTCAATTTGCCTTCACATTGCCTTTCTTTGATGTGCACACAGTCCTTGTGTCTCTGTGTCCAAATGTCTTCTTCTAAGGACACCTGTCAGATTGGATCAGGGCCCACCCTTATGGCCTCATTTTAACTTAACCACCCCATTAAAAGCCTACACATACAGTCACATCTGAGGAACTGGTCATTAGGGTTTCAACATGAATTTTGGGGACACAGTTCACCCCACAACACATTCTCCATTTCTTTTGCCCCCACTCCCTCCAAACGTTGGTCATCAGCACCACCTGCCCCCCTTGCTGAGACCGCAGCTGAAGTAAGAATACTCCAGGAGGAAAGTGCCTGTCCCCTCTGCTGGGGGACGGAGAAGGGTCCAGCTGTTGGGACTGCCGATGGCCACCCTTCTCCAGGTGCCGTCTGTCTCTTGGGAAGATCTGCCTCCACCCCAGGTCATCTCAAGCCCAGCCCTCACTGTGCCCTCTCACTCCAAAGGGGTCCCCCGGCAGCCCAGCCTCAGTTTCCTTCTCACCATGGATACACCCTGGGCTGGCCTCACACCTACCTTTCTGCATAGCTCATGGTCAGTGTATTACACAGCACTTTGTAGATCACGAAAGCCCTCTCCTGAGAGTTGCCATCTTTCACCTTGACCGGGGCTCTGGCTTCCTCCACTGCAGCCTCTCTGGGATTGGTCTCTCTTCCCCACTCACATGGCCATCGCTCTCTGGTCCACTCTTTCCCTTCCTCTGGGACTAATCTTTGGAGTGTCCCTGACTCAGAAACTTTCAGTGGTTTCTCACTGTTCTTTTTCCAAGTTCAGTTTCCTCATGCTGTCTTGGTGCACAGACTCTGCCTTTCCCAGCACAGATATGCTTCTTGCCTCAGAACGCTCATGTCCTGGCCACTGCCTCTGCACACTTGCTAATGCTCTCTTCCTCCTCTGAAGTGCCCTTCCCCCCTCCCTGTGACAGGAAAAATCCCGCCCCTCCTTAGTTCAGCTCTGCCCGGAGCTCAAATCTCCACCCTCCGCTCCCTCCTGTTCTTCTTCAGCTCTGGAGAGCCCAGGCCTTTGTAGTTCTCTGCCTGTTTTGAGGGGACTGTGGTTTTTTCTTATCCATTGGACTGTGTGCTCCAGAAAGCAGGGTGGGCTGAGTCCCCTGGTCACTTCTCATCCTGTAGCCCCAGGCTGATTGACCGACAGGGTTTTGATACGCTCTCCTTGGCTGTGCTGGAGAAGGCCCTGTGTGTGTGTGTGTGTGTGTGTGTGTGTGTGTGTGTGTGTTGCTGGTTGTTCTAGGCTCCCTAATTCTGCCTCTAAGCCCTGATACCTGCCCTGGAGGAAGAGAGGTCAGGAATCAACATTTAAAAAATATCTCCATGAGATTCTGAGGCACCATGAGGGCTGAGAACAGGCACTGTCATCAAACTGGCTGCTCACACTTTGCAGGGGAAGGAAAACAACATGTATTGATCAATTTCCAGGTGGCAGCCACGCTCACAGAGACTCTCACTTAATCCTCAAAACCAGTCTGTGAGGTGGGTGTTTCTCCTTTACAGATGAAGAAACCGTGAAAGGTCACATTAGAGCCAGGATACATTTTGGACCCCGCCACCTGCACAACCCCTCTCTGTCCTTTCTTCTCCCTTTCTCTACGCTCCATTCCCTTTGTCTTTGTTCATACAGTTTCCTCTCCAGGGATTCATTCACTGCTTCTGCCTCCAATTCTATCAGAGTCTGTGAGATCCAGGTAAAATGCCATCTCTTCCTCACTCTTCCAGCCTGGGCTCACCCTCTTGCATGATCCCAAGGAACTCGGTGTGTGCTTCTGCCCTAGCTGTCCTGATACCCAGCACACAGCGTGTGCTTTGTTCAGGGAGCGTCTAAGACCCTTTAGTGGTGAACTTGCCTGCAGTGCTCCTAGGTGTGGCCACCGGGAGCATGAAGTCTCCACAGGAGCTCCTATTCAGGGAGGCGGAGGGGCGAGGGGCTAAGGGCCTTGAACAGGGGAAATGCCCACAGCAAAGGGGTGCTGAGGAGGACGGGGCAGGGGCTATGGAGATACCTGCTTCCTTCTTTCCGTCCTTAGCAGCCACATGCCAATCCTTGAGGATGATCTGGATCATATGGAACCTGAATCTGGGGCAGGCTGGTATGGGTGGGGGCAGGAGGGCTGCTGATTGGTGACCTAGCTTACTCCAGACCCTGCAGCCCTGGGTGTTGGGGTAGGGCAGTATCAGGAAGCCAGAGGCAAGGGCAACTGGCAGCCACTACTGTCCACCTGTTAGCAGATGGGAATACACAGGCAATGATCCTGGCTGTGAAGCTGCTGCCCTTCCCTGGGCATAGAGGTAGAAGGGATGGGGGTCCTATTTGGTGGAGGGTTTAGCTAGTAACGCCCCCTTCCCAGGATAATGGATACTGTATTAATGTGTGTGTCTGTGTTTTGCTGCCATAACAAATTACTATAAACTCAGTGACTTCCAACAACACAGGTTTATTGTCTTAAATTTATGTAGCTCAGAAGGCTGACACAGTTCTCAATGGTCTGAAATCAGGGCGTTGGAAGGGCAGCCTTCCCTTCTGAAAGCTCTGGGAGAGAATCTGTTTACTTGCTTTTTGCAGCTTATAGAAGCTGCTCATTTTCCTTGGCTTACTTCCCATCCCCATCTCATCTTCAAATCCAGCATCATTGCATCTCTCTGACTATTCTTCTGTAGTTACATCTCCCATAGACCACAGAAATGTTCTCTGGTTTAGGGTCCCATGTGATTAGATTGGGCCCCCTGCCATCCCAGATACTCTGGGATAATCTCTCATCTCAAAGTCCTTAACCTTATCTGCAAAAATCCTTTTCTCCATATAAGGTGACATAGTCACAAGTTCCGAGAATTAGGATGTAGACATCTTTGGGAGCCATTATTCTTCCTAACACAGATACCAATGAGGATCTGGCATATTTCCCTTTGGCCACATAGTGGGGTGCTCCTAGGTTTTGGTCAGCTCTGCTGGGGTACATGCATCACCAGACAGAGGGATTGGGAGAAAGGGGAATGCACATGAAGTGTATACTGTGTGCTCAGCCCTTTGTGAAGCATAGTGCGTGGGCTGTTTTAATCCTCACAGTAACCAGCTGAGCTATGTCCACTTTACAGAAGCAGCAGAGGCTCAGCTAATTATCTAGCCCAAGGCTCCAAATCTGACTCTTTCTTGGGTACCACATGTCCTTTTGTGGGTGTGACCCCAGGAGAAAGGCCATCTCAACGTGGGAGTTTCTTTCTTGGGGATATCTGTGGAGTGAGTGGACTATGTGAAATGTAGGCAGAAAGCAAGCAGTCTGTCAGCACAAGTGTCCTATACTGTTACCGAAATGGCCACGGGTCAAGCCTTCATGAGTAAATAGAGGTTTAGTTAAACTTGTGTTTAACAGCTGGAATTTTCTGTTCTTGGCAGAGAAGCAGCCACCCCTACCATGCTAGGGACCCTCAGGCCTGTGGCTGAGCCATGTGAGCATTTGTTTCTAGGCTCTCTCCCTGGAGATTACAGTGACACTAGTCTTTACTTTTCATAGTTTCCACAGTGAGAATGGATTAGCTTGATAACCTAAAAAAATCTCAGTGATGAATGTTACTTGAAAAGGGCACTGAATCTTGTTGGGACTTAGGGCAACTCAGTTTATTTTCCTGGTCCTCCGTTTCCTCCACTGTAAAGTGGGTGTTATGATTCGCCCAGATAGCAAATACAAGAAAGATGAAAGCAGGAGGAGTAAAGCTCATTTTTATTGGATGGTTCAGAGTAGGGGCCTTTTTTCTTTCTTTGCCATTTGAGGAATTCCCTTCTTTTACTTTTTTTTTTTCCCAACCTGGTTCTTTCCCTTTTTTGTATTTTATCTTACACCTCCCTTCCTCACACAGGGCCATGAAGACCAACTGACCTCGCGGCTGTGGCAGGTTGTGGGGCAGAACTGAGGCCTGCTCTGGCAGGTGCAGAGTGGCTGCGCTCTGACCTCGGCTGGCCTGCTGCCCCCACACTGTTGGAGGAGGCACGTGGCACACGAGCATATCCGCTGCTCCCTTTCCTCAGGTCCCTCACTGCCTACATCAGTGGGCAGTGGGATTGACCTCTAGTGACTGGGATTCTTTACTTACTGACCCCACTCCTGCCAACCCCTGACAAAAGTCATGTTGTAGGAAGACATTTTGTCATTCTAATGGATTATTTCCTCAGTGGAAGAGTTTTGGAGGGACAATAGTCATGCTTAGGGGAAAACTAAAAACCAGTTTGAGTTTCTCATCAGTTGTGAAAAACACATGTTTGCTTTGGAAAAGGTGGTTTACAGTCAGACCTGGGGAAGGCGGTTAGAAGCCAAGCCCCAGGGACCCTCCCTGGGGATGGAGTGGCTACCAGCAGCCGAAGAGCTGAGAAGAGCCCTTAAAAGGGTACATGAGGGATTAACAGGGTTAGGGCCACTTCAGTTGTTCTAAGGAAATTGCATTTAAAGACTTTCACCTCTCTTTAAATGCTGTAATTTTCTGGGACTTTCTAGAAAGCATTGGCCCATCTAGGGGAGGGCAACAATTACATGCAGCTAAAAAGAAATCTTGTATTTCCTGTGCAGGGCTGGGAGATTTGGAGAATACGGTGAGGGTATGTGATCAATTGGGTGTTTTGGAGAACCCTGCCCTCCCTGGCTGGCCTGAACTTCCACATTACCCGTGAGGTCCCGAGCCTTTAGGCGGGGAGGTGGGGAGGGTGCCATGCTGTGGGACCTGCCCAAACCCTTCTTCCTTACATCCCCGTTTACAGAGAGAGGAGTAAAAGCCCCTCATTGTCGCCCATCTCCCCTGCCATCTTTGCTCCGGAAGTACCCACCCTGGAAGCATCGGGTACCGGTACCGGAAACTGTGTCTGTGATGCAATCACTGTTGCCGCCCCACGTGTCCCTGCCCGGAAGTACCAACCTGCCAGGTGAGGCAAAGAGGAAGTTCCAGAAGAAGTGGAGGCAGCCCCAGCGGAGGCAGCAGCTCTGGCAGTTCTGTGACCTGTGGGTCCGACTAGAGGAGAGGTGAGCCCGCCATCCTTACCCCAGGAGTATGGGTGGGGAGCAGCCCGGGAATGCTCTCCGCCTCTGTAAGGGGTAGTGTTTCAGTGCTCTGGTGAGAATGGAGCTGCACCTTCCCATGGCCCTGGGCAGTGTGGTCTTCTGTCCACCGTGACAGAAATGAATTCAGATTAAAGGTAGTTGCTTAAAGCCAGGGAAAGGGTACCGTGTTTATCTTTGTTAACAAATGGTGGTGGTGGCAGGGGCATGGATGGGTCTGTTCAAAGTGAATAGGTAAAAGTAGAATAAGAGTGGCATAAAGGTTGTGAAGAACTTGATTTGCTAGCCCTTTCTCCATCACAGATCAAGGAGAATTTCAGAGGTTTACAGAGCTGGAAGCAGCTTTGTAGGAATGGGCAGTTCAGCCCCCACACAGGAAGCGTGATGGCCACAGAATGCATGCACTCTCTGAGATGCCTAGGGGGTGGATCAGAGTGGATCTAGGAGGTGGTGACCAAGCCTAGTCTGCGTGGCATAGGGCTGATGGGAGAACTGCATCCGAGAGGCTTGGGATCCAGGATCTAATTCAGTTCAGGAGGATCTAACTGTTCCTCCTGTGTTCCTGCTGTTGTGGCTTTGGAGTGAACCAGACAGACAGTGGCCCTCTGCCTTCATGGAGCTCACAGTCTGGGGAGAAAGCCGGATTTTGAGCTGATTATCTGCAAGGCAAGTAAGTGTAGGTTGCTGTGGGCATGTCTGTGTGTGTGTGTTGGAGGTTACTACTTAACTTGGGGGTGGGGGTGGGGGATGTTGCATAGAAGGAGCCTAACAAAGCTGACCCCAATGCATAAGGCTTCTGAGTCTGGATCAGGAGATTCAGGGACCCAGTGCCTGCACTGGTGCACAATAACAATGAATGAATGAATGAGTGAACAAGGAAGGAAAGAGTTTCAGGCAAAGGAAGCAGTGTGAAAACCTGGTGTGGAGAGAGCATGCCTGGTAAAGAAATCCAGATAAAGTGATTCTGGTTGGAGTCTGGGAAGTCAAGAGGGAGTGTGGTGAGATGGGTCCAGCAGAGTGAGCAGGTACAGTGGCTGTGTCTTATGCCTGAGGGAAGAAGAGAACCACAGAAAGGCACGAAGTAGGCACCCAGTGTGCTGTGGGATTTGGACAGAAGCTGGCAGCCAAATGGGACCTGGAAGTCAGGGGCAGATTGTTTTGGTGTCCGGGTTGCCCATGGTGCTTGACTCTTCAATCACTCTTCATTGATGGAGGGATAAATTGGTCTGTTTAGGACTTTCTTCAGTCTGGACCATTTTCTTTCAAGGTGGCCATGGAGTTGGGCCCTTTACAACTGAGCTGAAAAGGACCAGGTCGTGGGCGCCTCAGCTCATACTATCTTGACCTGGGATGTCTTGTGTGGTGTTCACACCAGACCTGAGCTGGGGGAGGGGAGAGAGCCAGAGACCCAGAGAGGACTCCTCCTGGCCTAGCTGTGCCTCAATGTGTGGTCAGTAAGGAGGGTCCCTGCCTGAGGATACCTAGAAGCTAATGATAAGGGAATCTGAATTGGGCCTTCTTACACCTAGATTTTAATAATTCTTGAACCAAGAACCAAATAGCCAGGGGAGGATTGCCCAATTATGTTAGTCTCTGTGCTTGCTTTTGGTTTGGTTGTAGCAGTGGTAACAAGGGCCAAAGACACAAGAAACTTAATGCAAAGACCATTCTGGCCTTTGAAGAAGGGAGATGAAGTGAAGGTGTGCTGGCACTGGGGCCTTGGAGCATCCAGAGGCCCCTGCTGTGTCCTGAGACCCCTTTCCTTTGCCTCCTAGTGCTGTGGTGCCACAACTCCGGGTCCCTGATCTGGACAGGCACATCTCTGCTGAGCTGCGGTCCCCTCGGCCTGGACTATCCCACCGCCGCTGCCAGATGGTGGCCAGCAGTGCCTCCTGGTCTCTCTGGACTCCTGTGTTTTGGGTGTTGGTTCTGGCTTTCCAAACAGAGACACCCCTCCTGCAATGATTGGAGGAGCCAGGCTAAGAACCTGACTCCTTGGATTGAAGGACGACCTTTCCTGTCCTCCATGCTCTGGTCTGGCCTTGACAGGCCCAACCCAGAAGATGTTCAGAATCAAAGTCAATGTCGATTCTTCTCTTTCCAAGGAATGACTTTTGGTTATCCAACAATGCTTGGGGTAGTGTACAGTTTGTAACATAGTGAGCTGTATGAAAAGAATTAATCATAAATGAATTCTGTGAAAATAATTAAATACCAGTTTTTGTGTGTAGACTTTTCCCCACAATGTGTATATGTCAGAGAAACAACTCCTTGCTCACAGCCTCTGACCACTATCACTGCTTCACTCCTGGGCCTACTCCTGGGACCTGCCTGCAACCTTGGGTGCTGCCCCACCTTTTTGTCCTCCTGCTGCTCTTCTGTCTATTTGCTCCTGGTTCTGGATGCGGGGGAGTGTGTAGGCCATGGGGCCTTAGCTCCCCTGCTCTCTGTTCATGGTCTGGTGAGTAGGGTGCTTCCTGCATGCTGACAGGTGCTTTCATTATGAGTAATATGTGGCTGTGTCACTGATGTGCTTGTCAGGTGTGATGCCAGAGAGTGGTTTTCAAATGCTCCCCCTCTTGCCTATTTATTTACTTATTTATTATATGTGTGTCTTTTCCAAAGAAATCTTATGGGAAATCTTTATATAAAATGAGTAAGGGTAGAACTGCCTCAGTTTAGTCTGAAATGGGAACTTCTAGTCCTGCCAAGTTGACCTAGGCCCCCTTCCCCCAGCCTCCCCCGGCTCCCACCATGTTTCCAGACCAGGGTCTCCCACCTGTGGTGAGGTTCCCTTATGTCCTCCTGGCCCTCTTAGTAGCTTGCAGCCAAGAGGGTCTTCCCAGGACTTGGGTGGGACCACTAGGAAGTAGGTGTCTTTGTTCCTAACCTGGTTTAGGGTTAGCTTGATTGCCTGGGCTGGCAGCTCTGTGGTCTTTCCTTCTTTCCCAGAGACTTTCTTGTGTGTTCATTCTGGGCCCAGAAGATTTTTGAGGTCTCGTGGAAAGAGTGGTGTGATGGTCCTCAGGATCCTCTGTACCCCCTGTACTACAGGGGTAGGAGGGCTGAACTTCCCCAGATTCTCTTGCTATTATTACTAAGATTCTTGTAATGAGGTATACCTATGTGAGACTGGAAGGCAGAGAGGGCAGAAGACCTCTTTCTTCAGTGGTGGTGGCAGTTATGTGTGAGGTCCAGCAGACACAAGTCTGTAGCTCTGCATCCCACTGTTCAGTCACCTGCTTCACAAGCCTGGTGAAGTTGTGAGTTGTACATTTTCCTGCAGCTTTCTGACCTTGGATTACGGCTGCTGTGGTGTCTAACATCAGCCTCTGGCTTCTGTAGCTGCAGCCATTCCCAAAGCTTAGTGCACCTCTTCCTGCTCCAGACGCCGCGTAGTGTCTGATGCCTGCACTGACCTCGGAGTGATAGGGGTGGTGCTCCCTGCTGCTCTGTGCCCTGAGTCTGTTCTTCACTTCGATAGGTGTGGGGACGAAGGTGGGGAGGTGGAGGTAAAATGGAGGGTTGGATTACTATAATTGACCTGGTTCCTCCAACTTTCTGTAAGGGGGTGGTTGGCTTTCTCCAGAGGCCCACATCCTGCTTAGGCATTCCCAGGCTCTTGGCTCATGTTATGGCCGAGGGCAAGCAAACAGACCCTTGTTGGCAGGGGTGACACAAAATGGTTTGCCTCACTCCTTCGCACTGGTGCAACTAACCCTGCTTTTGAGGCGGCAGGGTCAAGTGCACCTGGGAGGCACTTGTCCATTGTTCACATGGGTTCATCCTAACATGGAAGGGGAAATTCCTCGGAGCTGGGCCGGACCCACCTGCACTTTGCTGAAAGCACAGGCTCTTCTAAGGATTGTGATACAGCCATGTGGAGTCGGGGAACTGGTGCCCTGGGCCAGGGTTGTCTTCCTCTCATTTGCTACAGATGTCAGGGTCACTGCATCAGTCTCCCATGATGAAGGCTCTGAGTCTTCAACTTCATCTGGGGCGGGGTGACTGAAGCATATACCGGACCTCTCATGTGTGAAGAGGAAGGAAGCCTGTGGGTAAGGAAGACCGAGCTCTGGCTGCCCCTGGGGGCCTTCCAGGTGACTAGGGGGAAGCTGCCTGGCTCTCATTTGTGGGAGGGGAGCAGGTTTAGGAGGTGGGTGCTGAACCCACTGCTTTCACATCAGAGCTTGAATTACCAACAGAAGGAAAAAAACCCACTTTATTTTGGATTATAACAGAAATGAAAGCCACATTTACTACCCTTAGATCAGAAGCAATGCTGATTTGATCACATACAAGTTACATAGACCCTTTTCCCTTTCAAAGATCTCTGGCTGCTGCTTTTTCAGCACTGAGGTGCCTGCTTCACTCACTCAGCTGGCAAAGCAAAGCTGACCCCTTGGCAATCCAGTAATCGTTGGGCCTCTTGGACGGTAAAAGGACAGTCACCACAAAGTTGGTTGAATGACCTGGTTAAGGATACAGGGGAAAAGGAAGGGTCATTACTTAAAGAATAACCCCTTAATACAAAGAGTACATTACTTGGAGTCAGGATTCTGTCTCCAAAGATGATAGGCAAATAGTCCTCTATGGACTTGAGTTTTATGTTCTATACAGTGAAGATGTTAGAACAAATGATCCTTTAGGACCTGTCTAGCTTAGACTTTGTGTAACCATATGTATTATCTTTTAAGTTCTCTGCATTCTGGGAGCACTGGATTAGAATCAGGCCTAAGCTTTCAGTGGAATGTAGTTGATAGGCTTGGCATCCATTTATTTGTCTGTCCGTCCGTCTGTCCATCCATCCATCTATCCGTTGTTCCACTCCATAGTTAGGCACTGGGGCTCCTGAAGTGACTAAGGGTAGTCATAGATATTGTGTCCCAGCTCTGTGACACCTGAAGAAACTTTTGTAGTTTCTTCATTCTGTGTGAGGGGGCCAGGACCACGGTGAGAAGAGGGTCCTGCCCTCTACACAAGAGTTGCTATTTCTGGCAGTACATTCATTGCAAACGCTATATGCACACAAGTTGGGGGATTTGGTGGTGTCCCCAGGAGAGGACCCCTGTGTCTGCCCTCTCCTTACCTTTGCCTGCCATTCCCTGCACGGTGCCTTGGCAGGTGCTTGAGTGATGTTTTATAGTACATATGCAGTCTGTATATTTAACCATGAGTTTGATTCAGGATTCAACTAAGGTTCATACCTTACAATGGTGATATGTATCTCAAATCTCTTTCAATTGGTAGCTTACCCCTCTGTTCTTTTTGCTACCCCCTTGTAATATATTATTTGAAAGAGGCTGTTTGGCCTGTAAAGTTATCCAGAGTCTGATTTTGCTGACAGCATCCCTGTGGTGATTTTAAACACATTCCTCTATCCTTGTAAAGGGGTAGTTAGTACTAGAGATGTGATCACATTAAGGCTTGAGCTTTTTGGCAAGAGTACTTTATAGGTGGTGTGTACTTCCATCAAGAAGCACTTTGTGTCTGATTGCTTTTCTTTTTGGGGATGTAGCAGCTGTTGATGATTATCACTTAAAACCATGATTTCATTAGGGCTGAAATATAGTGATGATTAAGTATATGCAATCAGCCTGTGATTTAATTTTTGTTTGTAATATGAGATATGGATGTAAATTTGAGCCCTGGCTGGTGTAGCTCAGTGGATTGAGCTCGGGCTGCGAACCAAAGTGTCGCAGGTTTGATTCCCAGTCAGGGCACATGTCTGGGTTGCAGGCCATGGCCCCCAGCAACCGCACATTGATGTTTCTCTCTCTCTCTTTCTTCCTTCCTTCCCTCTCTAAAAATAAATAAGTAAAATCTTAAAAAAAAAAAAGGATGTAAGTTTGGTACAACCAATTGTCCCAGAACCACTTATGGAGTAACTTCCCTGTTCCTGACCAGTTTTGAATGATGTTGCTATTCTGTGTCGAATTCCCAGATATGCACAGTGTGTTGCTGTACTTCCTGTCTAGTGCCTTTGATCTATTTGTTGAGTCTTGTTCCATTGCAACATCATTTTTAATTGCCACCTTATCTTGGTTCCTTTTGCCAAAAAGACAGAGGTCCTGTTGGAATTGTAGCCAATAATAAGACCAATGACTCAATTAAAAAATGGGCAAAAGATTTAAACAGACACTTTATCAGAGGAGTTATAAATAAGCCCCAGAACAGACGGTTAATGTCATAGATCTATCTGTCTACCTCCTTCCCTCGCTGTCTGTCCTCTGCAGGGCTAATCACACTAAGAGGTGATGAGCCTGTGGGAGCTGGAGACCTCGCTCACTGCTAGTGGGGATGTTGAATGGTATGCAAGACATTTTGGTAGCTTCTTGAAAAGTTAAACATATACTTACTACACAATCTAGTCATTTCATCCTCAATATTTATCCAAGATAAATAAAAGGATATGTCCACACCAAAACTTGCACATACTATTATTAATTCTAAAATATACCTTTTAATACTTTTTAGATTTATAATAGGAGTAGGCCATCAGGCATGTGATAGGAGTGTCTATTTTAGTGCTATTCTGTATGTTGCCCTTAAAGAAGATACGTTAACTGAAATTTTATTAGAAAAGTAAATATCACCAGTATCTATATTCTCTATGCAAAAGGGAAACTTTTTTTAGTTCGTCTGCTTTCCCCCATCTCCCGTATTTTCCTCATCTGGAAATTTAGTTCCAAATTATTATTAAAATCATTTTATGGTAAAATTTTTAAAGATTTAACTGTGTGTGTGTATGTGTGTGAAATAGGGAGTTGGTGGTGATTAACTTAGAGCCTTATATGTCCAAGACAGTCTTTATCACACTTTTCTTTTAGACAATAATTTGATTGCATTTCCAATTTTGGTTCAAAGTTGTTTTGCTTTGGGCCTTTGAAGATACTTCTGTCTTTTGACGTGCAGTGTGGGTCAGGAGAGCTGTCTGGGGTCTGCCTGGTGCTCTGGAATTTAAT